CTAGCCATATTGCAATGGTTTGGTCATAACGATTCTCAAGTGTTGGCTTCTTAATGATTTTTTAAAACGTGTATTGTGCCTGTCTGGAACTTTGGAACACATTTGAAAGTGGAATTAGAAATTCCAACATTAACAGATTTCTGAATATTATTGTGGGGATTCCAGGTAATGCAAAAGCCATGGTGCTGCAATATCTTTAACTCTTCTCTCCATTCCTTTAAAAGGAAGCTTACAGACAATGCTAAATAAGATAATCAAGAGCAAGAGACACCTTCTTGCATAAGTGCTTTGCAAATACCTGACATGGGTATCTGGGGAGATTAACACTGTATAAACTAATAATGGAAACAGTATTTTCTTGCTAAATACTAGGGCTGTGCAAAATTTTGCCAGCTGTTTCAACTTGTTTCGAGCTCGAAACAGCAAAATTGAAACGAAATGGAGAGCTTCTAAACAGCCTTGAAATGAAACGAGGCAAGTCAAAATGTTTCGAAATTTTCAAAATGTTTTGAGTTTCAAAGCTCAAGCTGGGCTTGCCTGCAGGGAAACAGAAACTAAAGCAAGGAGGGTGGGGGGAAGGAGTGCTCCATGATTGACTGTGTAGGTGGCCTGTGACTGTCATCCTTTCCTGAGGGCCCTTCCAATCCCAGTGCTCTGGGGGAGGGATGGAAAAGCTGCAAAAAAGGCAGCCCTGCTTCCTGCCTTGGTGTCAGTTGAATGAGGGCACACCTTAAAACACACAGTGTTACCCACCCATGTCATGAGTTTTGTCTGTCAGCAGCTAGAGGTTCAGGGCCCCAGAACCCAGACTCCTCCTGCACCTATCTCCTTGACGGCTGGCAGGCTTCATGGCCTCAGCAGGGCCTAGCAGGCCTGCAGTTTTCACCCCCCTGTGCCCCAAGACACAGTCCCACAAGCACCCATGTCACAAGTTTAGCTGTCAGCAGTCAGGTGCAGGGCCCCAGAACCCAGAAGCCCCTATACCTATTTCCTTGAAAGCTGGCAGGCTTTGTGGCCTCAGCAAGGGCTAGCAAGCCTGCAGCTTTCACCCTGCTGCGCCTTAACACACACACTGTCACCTATGTCACAAGTTTTGCTTGTCCTCAGCTTGAGGTGCAGTTTCCCCCAAACCCCTTGTTACCATATTTGCCCATCACTTTGGGGTGTGCTCATTTATTAGGGATATGTTTCCAGGGTCTTTGTAATTCTGTCAATGTGCTGCTTGTGTACTTGTGTTTCTATACGGAGCTATATATCTCCTTTCTGCAAGTCCTCACCCCCAATGGAGCTATCTTGCAGGACTCGGTTTCAATGGGGCTGGGTTCCTCCAGTCACCAAATCAGTCATACACACAAACACACACAGATTAACGTGACATGCCTTACCCGGCCGGGTTGATCAGCATGGACAGGCTGACCCCCGTCATATGCCAAGAATCAGTTCATCGGAGCAACAATAAACTGCAGTCAGACACAAGCACACAGGTAGACAGAATACCTCTGAATCTGTCTGGATGTCCAGCTGACACCCTCATGGGCCAGCATTCAGTTCATTAGGGCACGTCTGAGCCAAACTGGGTCAATCAGTCTGTACAAGCTGATCTCCTTATGTGTTTCAAACTCAGCACGCCCCAATCTTTAGCCTCTTGATTCTGGGCTTCACAGGGATTTTTAGCTTAGGTAAAAGAAGTGTTGCTGCAGAGCAAGTGGGGAAGGAGAAGTAGGGAAGGAAAAATATACCCAGTTACTACCAGTTTGAGTATAAAAGTTATTTATTGCTAAGTATATGAAATATATAATGGCACTAATGGTAATAGACATGCAAAGGAAAAACAAACACAAACAATTACAATACTACCCTGGTTTCACTAAGTATTTGGGGAAACTTAGCTCAAGCTTAACTAATACAGTTCAGGTTCAGAAATCTATGCATAGAGAGAAAAGAGAGAGAGCGAGAGCTGGGATCTCACCAGTCCAAGGCACTCGGGTTGCAATGTTGACAGGTAAAGTTCTTAGCACAATCCTTGAAGGGAGACTATCTGTTTCTTCCAGCTTCTCGAGAACAACAGTGGATGGTGTCAGACTTCTCTTGAAGCACACGCACACATTGCAACTTTTTTTACAGATTTTTATACCCTCAGTTCAGCTTCTTCAAAGCATTTTTAATAGTGTAAATAATTGTCTTTTGTATTGACAAGGGGTTATCTGGTTTGGAACATCTCAAGAAACCGATTGATAACCAGGAAAAACATAAAGCTAAGGAGTAACCAGACACTTAGGAGCCAGATTGAAATTCCTATGGATAGCAGATATACTGGATGGGCATACCTCATTGTTTCTTCAGAAACAATAGATAGCTTACAGCATCAGGATTTTGGATTTTGACTTGTTGTGAACAAGCCTCAACTTAGCATGACTTTTCCAGATCTTACTATAATCTTTTAACAGGCTTATGGCAATTATTGGATTGTTCATAACCTTTTGTGGGGAGGACTTCCACCAGTCATCCCGGGAAAAGTATGACAGCACTTGTGGTCAGGGCTCCAACGGGCTGGACCCTGTGATGGACCCTTTACCATTGTTCAAATGTTGCCCATACCCCGTCTGACGCGGTCTCTTTGCCTCAGCATTCCCTAACCCGGCAAC